TGCTCAGCAACAACATAGGTTCACTCTTTAGATGAGCCAGTGGGAAAACTAAATGCTGACTTAACTTGGATTCTGGGGAATGGAAACAAATGCATGCTTCCCAGGAGTTAAATCGATTATTGCCCTTTGATGTTAAATGTGTTTTTATGGAGCACTGGACCGGAGGGTTGGGGTTAAAGTATAAGATGAGGTGAAAGGTTGAGGTGGGTTTTTTTTCCCTGATGAGAAAGTGACATATCAAAGTTAATTTATTTGTCTCAAGTAGTACTACGCTTGTAAAAGCAGTTGCAGCTGATATTATAGTGAAGATTCTTAGAAATGTTTCTACCTTCTTTAAAAGGTATGAATGCAAATCCGAAATAAATTCTCTGCTCTCTCAGTGAAGGTCTTAGGAAAGATATTACTAAGTTGCTATTAAGTATTTCAGGAAGTTCCACATTTGCTTCCTTGCTTAGATCAAAGCTAATGGGATAACCCTCCCATATCGGCTAAAGATTAGCATTTAGATTAAGGCAAGGTTTTTCCAAAGAGGTAAATAGCCCTGATAATTTTATTGCCATTGGATCTGTCCAGTGCTGACAAAATCTGCCTAGACATCTTGGTATCGTGTTTTGCACGTCATTTAACGCCACAATCTGACACGCTAACAGCATGAAGTACGTATGAATGACACTGAAGTGATGTGCTATTCATGCCCAGTCTTATGACATGTTGTTGTACCCACTGTTTTTATTCGGTTTGTCAACTTTGAGCTATAACAGAGTGCAAAAAATAAATATGTAATGGTAATAAAATAAATTATGATGATGCTTTTCGGTGCTATATAGTGGAGTTAGCTTTGGACAAAGCAAAAGTCTCGCTGTACTAAGCTTTCCAATTTCTGTCTCTAGCTTCTTAGAGACATGAGTTACTCTTCTCATCTAATCATTAATTTAATACAGTGACTGTTTTCCATCCATCCATCCATTTTCTTTCCACTTATCCAATTCAGGTCGCTGAGGGGCTGGATCCTGTCCCAGCTGTCATGGGGCAAAAAGCAGGCTGCACCCCGGACAGGTCACCAGTGTGCAGCATGGCTAACACATAACGACAGACAATCATTCACGCACATGTTCAAACCTACAGCCAATTTAACATCACCAATTAACTTAACATGTATGTCTTTGGAGTGTGGGAGGAAGCCAGATTACCTGGAGAGAACTCACGCAAAGACAGGGAGAACAAGCAAACTCTACACAGAAAGAATAAACAATCTAACAAACAATAAATCTGCAGAAAAAGACATCTGTTTGCAATACAGATTTGCACAAGAAAACAGACAAAACTAGGACACTTGGAAAGTTCATCCTCTGCTAGTGCCAATGCTCACACAGACATTAGTGCCCTATTTTGAAATGTTAAAGAAAGGGATCCAGACGTGTGCCAGAAAAGTAATGCTCCTTTTCTCTGCCATGGTTCATGATATTTTTGTGTAATCTTACTAACAGACTGAGACAGGTCTTTGAAGAAAAGAAAAAAGAGAATATTTCTATCTGTCAGCAGTGAATGTTATCTATGAGTTCTCTGTTTGACTTAGACATGATTGTGTTCTAATTTCTTAAATTGCCGTAAGTTTCCAGGCCGGTCTCACTGAGAGTGGGAGGCAAGTAGAGCCAGCAGATTATGGAAAAATTCACTGAGATGAATGTTGTCTATATTTGCAGTAGCCAAGCATCAGACAGGGTGGTATTTAACACCAAAGTGACTGAAGTGGAGCATCACACGCAGAGAAGCGTTCTTCTTTTCATCCTGTGTTTGAATAAGAGGCTTCTCTCCCTCTTGCTGTTAAAACTGGTAATCTGGTGATGAGCTGCACACCAACGCATCGATTATAAATACACATCAACACCAAACTGTCCAATGTCTAAATCACTCAGCAGTGACGGGATTACAAGCTCAGCATTTGAGACTCCTAATGGCCAGTGAAAGTGAACTTTCCTTGATGTTCTTTCAGTTAATTGCTAGCATTTATTCATCCTTTTAAAATGCCTGCTGGTTGCTAACTACTTGCCTCTGCAGAAACTGCTGGTTTACTGTGTCACACATTGACATCCTCTGGCAAAACTTTAAGAACCACCCTGGAACGTGCTCTGGACTTGAAACCAGCCACCAGTGCCAGACCCATATAGCAGTCTTTGGTGTGTGCCACGTGGACTATTCCAAGAACCTCAACCCAAATACCTCTGACACAGAGCTACAAGAGCAAGGTTTTGACTTCCCTATTTTCCCTAATAGCGCATTTCTTTCCTGGCCTCGCCATCATTTACTTAACCCCTTCCCTTCCTGGTTTCTGCACTGATAGACAGAGTTTTGGTGCAAAACCACATAAAAAACAAACAAACCTTCAATCGTGCTAACCAAAGGATTTTGCAAAGTCTGTGACTTTGCCTTTTCATTTTAAAGCACTATTAAACATTTGAAGCAGTGACAGTAGATCATACTTTGTAACTGACACTCTAAATAGCACATGAATGTTGGAAACAGTGCCCATCCCACACATGTAACATACAGTTCTAGTATCTGTGATGGGCCCTTTTATATAACATACTAACAGAAGGCCTGTTTTTTTTCTTACAAATAATTTAGCGCTAAGATGAACAAAACAATGGACTTCAAAATTATGTCTTGTGTGAGTTAATAAATCTGGTGATGTGTTTTATTTTTCCTGTTGTCAATAAGTTACATGAAAACACTAAAAACTAACCATGAATTCACTGTATTTACACTGTTTTACACCTATCCAAGGATTGATATATTTTGGGGCAAAACTGGACAGGTAGCCAGGCTCGAGCTGATACCATCGTGTTGATGTTGTTACTGGATGAACAAAACTAATTTTTGTCCAGGTAAAGGCCTTAACCCTAACTATAGCCCCATAACCCTAACCCTGACCATAATCACATCCTAACCTCCAACCCTAACCGCCCACTTTCATCCAGAGTGGACATTGACAGGTTTTTTTTCCAAGTTACCAAGTTATGACATCATAACAACGTGATTGGTCAAATGCAATGTTGATCCGAGAACAACACCAATACAAGGATATTAGATAGACCAGGTACCAGGTTTTCCCATAAACAAATCCCATGTTTAAGAGCAAAAAAGGAGACAGGTAAAAATTTGAATTGACAATAATTCAAATGGATGTTTCTTTCTTTCTATTTTTATTTAGAAATAAAAATAGAAAGAAAGAAAAATCAATTTGAATCATTTTTATTATTTATTTATTTATTGCTAATATTATTACATTATATTATATATAATTACATTCATGTATGTTATTATTATTATATTTTTATTCTTTATTTTTATTTAATTAGAAATAAAAATACAGTTCTGGAGAAAAAAACTCAACACATCTCTCCCACAGGGTCTTGTTGTGGTCCTGGTATTCTGTTGGTTTTGTTGTGTCACTTTGACTTTTAGTTTCTTTATGTTTAGTGTTAGTTCTCATGTTTCAGTTTTACTTTTGCCGTTTTTTTTTTTTGGTTTCTTTTTTGTTTTTTCTTTTTGGAGGGGCAGGGTTCCTTTTTCTTTTTTTCTTTTGCTTCCTTTTCTTCCTTTGGGTTCGTCCTCTCCCTACGACCCTAATACAGCTTTATAAACTGTTTTTTGCTTAGACTTCTTCTTGCAATAGGAAGAAAAAGTTCTTTCCTAACTACACTTATAGATACATGGTCAAAACGAGTTGGCATGACAACCGTGCCCTGCTCGGCCAGCTTCCAGATGTATTTCTTTCTGATTCTGATATTTTTCTTTGGTATGATTCAAAACCACATGAATAAACCACACTGTTGTACTGGGTAATATGTTTCTTCATTAACACACACACACAGGCATCGGCAATGTCACAAACACCTGCTGCCATGAATTTCCACTAGAGCAACAAACGTCTTATTCTGTTGCACAAAAATAATTCCCAAGAAATTCCTCACAACAATGCCCAGCTATGACAGTATTTCTAATCCTGTCAATTGTCATAATAAACAACATGGTGTAAAAGTGTTTTATTAAGAAACAGAACAATCTTACACTATTGTTTGTAGAAAACGTATATCTAACAACACAAGTATACAAAAAAAACAACACATTTACAGTTTGTGCATTGCAAATAAAAAAAATGAACAGGATGGAAACCAAACATGGAGAAAATGAATGCTGTTCAGACTGACGACAGCGAAGTTGTACGCAAACACATCCTTAATCCACACAATCACACAGTCACACTTTTAGAGACCTTCATCCGGATCCATAAGCGATATTTATGACTAATGTAGAAATGAAAATGTAGTTTGTATAAAATGCTTTCACTGTAGTTGATCTTCACGAATCAACTGCTCAAAGTGGCTTATTTCCAAATCTCCAACTCTCAAATGTTAAAGTTACACATTTGATTTAATATCAGTCATTTCATTACAATATCTTTGAGCAATGTCACTATTTCAGTCTACTTTCGTTGCTTTGTGTTGCGCATAAAAGTTTCCAAATCGAGTCAGAAAGGCGTTTCTGCGATGGTGCCAGTAGCCTAATTAGCAGCTGCTTTTTGGTGAGAGACTATTTAAAAGATAAAAAATTTGCAGTAATGTGTTAAATCCATTTGAGGACAGCGAGGCTGTCTGGACAGCTAAGTAAATAAACTACCAGAATTAACTCTCTTTGGCAGCTACCGTGACCTACATAAACATCTGCTTCGTGTTTATTTTCGTGATTATTGAAAAGCAGCTGGTGTTTATCTTTATGCTACAGTTACTTAACTGACACACTTGAAAAAAAAAAATCAATGACTGACAAATTTGAAAAACTAACAAGTACAGGAAGTGCATGAAGACACTAAAAAAATCTGGCAACGCTAATATGTTTTATCTTGACGTCTGTGGTATTCAATTATACGTTTTGTCAGTGTAAACAAATAAATAATTATTTACAAAACTAGGAAAAAAAATGCCAACGAACAAAACAAGCAGAGCATAAATAATTTACAAAAGGAATTATAGTACAGACTTAGTATAAACATCTTTGGCACTTACTCGTCGTTCACTGAAGTTGTACATGAAAAGCACATTTAGGATGAAAAGAATAAGGAGAAGCTATAATGGAGTTAAGGCGGGTAAATGATTATGATTTGATTACAGTTTATGTTTGTCAAACACTGTATGATCAGTTCAGCAAAAAAAAAAGAAGAATAAAGGCAGAGAACAGCCGAGTCACTCACATCAAGCTGTAGGAAATCACAAACAGCATCTAAGAGGTTGTACAATGAATTTAAAGATGTAGAATAGGTACAATAGTTTTAATTAGATATTCGGTAGAGGCTTTTTAAAAAACAAATAAACAAAAAAAACACATGTTGATCAGTTTTTTTTCCTTTCTCAGCTTCGGCAAAACTGAAATGTGCCACTGTTTCTCCTCCAGTGGATGAATCAAGGCGAAAACATGGAAGTATGCGAAGTCTGATTTACATTGACATGGATTCAGCGATGACGTGATGTTTACTCGGAGAGATTCTTGTCTTTTGCCATCAGATGTTTTCTTTTTTTCTGTTTCTACTTGATTCAGTTATCTGTAGAAAGATGGAAAAATATCTTCCATTACTGCCACATTTACAATTAAAACTCAATGAGCCCCTGAGTCAAAGTGCCAGAGTGCAGCAACAACATTAGCATTGTGTGCGTCAAAAAAGCGTGTCTCCAGTAAATGTGGCTGTGATTGTGAGAAGAAGAAAAAAAGCTGCAGACTCATTTTCCACAGTTTAGCGCTAAGTAGAAGATCTGAAGTCCTTGGATGAACACACAAGGATTTTCACAATGCTTCTGGGGCATTGTTCATGGGCAGGGTGGCAAGCAGAAATATAGCGTGACAGCAAACAACACAGCACAGAAACCCTCTCACCATTACCTTGTGAGCACGGTTGGCAACTCCGGCTTATCTGAGGTTTGAAACAAGATGTGGTTGGTTGAAAGAGTTCTACATTTTTAACTCTTCAGTTGCATTTATGTTATTCAAATGACCACACTGCTATAATAAACTATGTAATTTTTATGTAGGCGTTTGGTGTTTAACACCTAAGCCAATGTTATTAATACAAAATTTCTACAATTTAACATGATCTGTTAAATATGTTTTAGGGACAGAACACGTTAAAGCTTAAAATCAGTGGCATCCTAGGACTGTCAAATAACACATTGTCATTGGCAAATAACAATGGAGCACAAATTTCAAAATTTGTAAAAAACTTTTTTAGAAATTAAAATGATATTGTTTTTCATTAGGTAAATAACAAACTCATGTTTTTAGACCCAAATTGGACTTAAATCAGCCACCAAATAACAGTCATATTTGTAATCTTAATCAAAAAATGATAAAGTGCTTTACTATTTTTTTCTTTTTTGTAAAAAAAAAAAAGAAAAAAAAAGGAAATGTAAAACTTCACGAACAAAAAACAATAATTATATTTTGGCTTTAAAAATATAATTTCGATTAAAGAGCTTGTGCGTACTGGTGGATTACCAATATATTGAAAAAGTGATTTGGGTAATAACCAGTATTGTTAATTTAGGGCAGCTGTGGCATAAACTTTAGATAGAGTTGTGAGCTAATAAATAAATCTAATAAACAGATTCAGTTAGCTTAGCTTATTTTGTTTAAAACAAACTTAAAATATTACAAATTTTCTCCATTTAATGTTTGCTTACTTTAGTTTATGTAATTATTTACAGTGAAATGGGGAAGGGCCCCACTTCTGGCACCCTTGCTTTCCACTCTTAATATCAATATAGCTGCTATTTTCACTCAACTAGAATTGAGTGAAAATAGCTTTCAGCTTTATGCAACACTTGAGTTGCTCACACATATCCATGGGTAATTTATAACAAAACAGAAACATTTGTGGTTATAATTTTAAGTAATTGTGCTTACCTCTGCACTCATACTTGAGGTCAGAGAAGAACACCAGCTCTTGTGAGAAGACAAACAAGCCTAATCTTCCTCCGGCAAAGGTCTTATCATAAATCGGTCCCGAGTCAGCCATAATCTGTTTGCCTTCATAGACCACTACCCTGGAAAACACAAGAAAAACTTCCATGTTTTAATGTCTTGAGACTAAAAAGCTGCATGTCATCAAGTGACTTAAAGGAGGCCTGTAATCAGAGACAGAAAAACATGGGCTTTCCTGTTGTGATCAGCTGTACTTCATACCTTATAAACCCGGTCTTTGGTCTGTGGATGAGATGCCACCTGTAAGCTGTGTAATCCTTCCAACCAATGTTTTTGGGGTCATGCCACAGGGTCCGCACCTTAAAATAGTTAACAACACTAAAATCAATACTGATACAGGCATTGTAACACACCACTTTGCATTTAGATCGCAGCCCACCTGTCCTGGAGTGTTGCCCGTGTGCCACAAAGCATTCCTGAGGTATTCTCCAGTGCCAGTGGTCGAGTTCACAACTTTGAGTGAAACCCCAGAGATGCCAAACGCCTTGGATGGTTTGTCCTCCCAATAGGTCTGTGTGATCTGCTTCCACATCACAACGTAAAAGCGCCCACTCGACTGGTAACCAAAAACAAAGCCTGCATAGTCGTCATCTCTGTCGGTGTTCACGTACATCGTTCCACTGAAATCCACAGCGCTGAACTCATCAAAACCTGTGATGAGGTGAGCAAGTGTTACACTCACAGAGCTCTGCACACTTAAATGGAGTTTCAAATATTTTAAAAAGCAAAGGGAAACATATGTGCACTGCTCACCTACTGCAATGCCTGGGTCAGAGTTAGCAGTCTGAACTAACTCCTTGCCCTGATGTCTGACCACCCAGTTGGGATCAATTTGTGTGGTTCCTTTAGGATCCAGATGCACCATCTGGAATTTCCTGAAGTCTGTCACACTGATGGCATTGTTCTCAGGACACACATCGAGGATATCTGGGATACTGTCGTTGTCAAAGTCATCTTTGCATGCATCCCCTCTTCCATCACCTAATAAAGGAGAAGAATATAAAATTATATTAAAATCATTTTAAAATGTTTCACCTAATTTAAATCATATCTGAAACAAACTATTGAATAGGTTGGAAAAATATCTACGGCAGCTAATGCTGTTGAGGAGTTCCTCCAACTAAATATTAAAAATGAATGGAAGTATAGCAGTTCTTCCCAGAAAACTGTCCCAAGTACCACTGCCAAGTCTGATGAAGCAAATCAGCCATCTTCTCATGCTGTGACAACTTCCACTGAAACTTCTTAGTATCTGAAGCCTGAAGTCTATTAGAGCCAGGCTGCAGGCTGGGAACTCATGAGGGAAAGGATGCCAGTGGCTAATGAGGGCCACTGCATGGAAGTAGCTTGCCGTCTTCTGTCATCATCTTTGCTATTGAGCAAGAAGCTCAAACGATTCTATCAAATAAACACTATTTGACAAACGGCAAAGGGTGTGAAAGCATCAGGGGCTTTCTCCTCTGCAGTCTGTTTTCAGTTACAGACAGCTGCACAAACTCCAGGTAACCCTGCTTAAATTGGGCACTGTGGACTAATCACAGGCTAAGGCTAAATGGAATAAAATCTTCACAGCCTGATGGTGCCCTCCAAGGCAGCTCACTGAAGTCATGGAGAATGACATCATCCGTGCCAAGCCGGTCACTGACTCTTTCTACAACCACCAAATTTCACACCTGCTGCAGTGAAAGTAACCGCTAACTCTAAAAGCAGCTGGGAGAGGGCATAGGGAAGAAGAAATGTGAAATAAGTCTGAGCGCATAGAGATACTATTTAAGCAAGTAGTCTCAAAATTTTAACAGACTTTTGTTAATATAAATCTTAAGAATGCTACTAAAAGAAGTACACCATTGAATATTTATGCTATAAATCCATGCTAAAAATAGTTGATATCACTCATGTTTCAACTTCTTGTATGGATGTGACACTGCTGCCTTTAAGACTAATACATGCACCATCCTCACCATCAGAGTCCTCCTGGTCTTCGTTGGGTGTTAGCCTGCAGTTGTCTCTGTCGTCAGGTATACCGTCGTTATCGTCATCGTAGTCGCATGCGTCTCCTTTGCCGTCCTTATCGTGGTCAGCCTGGTTTGAGTTGGCCACATAAGGACAGTTGTCTAGATTGTTCTGATGCCCGTCTTCGTCAATGTCCTGGCTGTTGTCGCACTGATCTCCAACCAGGTCATTGTCTAGGTCTGTCTGTTGGATGAATACAAGGATCAGAATGTTAATGCAACATCTATTGACTGTATTGGAAAAAGCCATAATTTACAGTGTGTATAGTTTACCTGGTCAGGATTGTGTAGCAAAGGGCAATTGTCACACTGGTCGCCGACACCATCCATATCAGTGTCCTTCTGGTCAGTGTTGTACACATAGGGGCAGTTATCATTCTCATTAAGAATTCCTGAGAAAAAAAAACAAATTTAAAGTTGCTATAGTTAATTATAGTAGACTGAATACAACATGTCGTCTACATTTTTAGCTATTTTACCATCTCCATCGATGTCCACTGCACAGGCATCCCCTTCTCCATTGTGGTCGGTGTCAATTTGAGCAGGGTTGTGTTCATAGGGGCAGTTGTCACAGCGGTCACCAACTTCGTCCTTGTCAAAGTCAAACTGGCGAGGATTGTAAAGCAGGGGACAGTTGTCCTGTCGAAGAAAGCACATGCTAGCTAAGTAATGTTTTGACAGTCATGAGCCGAATCATAATGAGTGCACTGATGAGAACGGATTTGGATTTGCATAAAGTTCGTTTCTGATTTGGTCAGTAACATTAGTTCTCATCTCACTGCATCTCTGCTGGGTTGAGATGTCATAACATATGAATCGCATCATTTTCACTTATTCATCAAGCCAGTAAGTAACCCTTTTTGGCTTATAGAAAATATTTCATCATGAGATAATGCTGACCACTCAAAAGGTTGCAGTGACAAACCCTTATGTTAGCAAAGTGGCTGAACTTTCAGGTGCTCCTTACTTCCACAGCAGATGGTTCTACATACTTTGGCACAGTTTTTTTTTTTTACACCAAATGTCCTTCATGACACAAACCCCACACTTATCCAGCCTTGTGACCAGCAAAAGGAGCAGACAAGCTGCTCAAACTGGGTGTGTGTCTCCTCCTGGTCTCAAAGCCAGTTAACTATGCTACTAGCAAACTATGCTAGCAAAAGTCCCCTTGCTATAGGATTCGGTGGTTTGTAGCTTTTCTTTATGTTTTCAAATTTATCCGTAGAATATGTTTCCTATAATGTTTATGGATTTCTACAAAGGCTGTATATGTTGTTTGCGCAATGGAAATGGCGTAACACATTAATTAACTAGCAAACTGCACATTTATTAGGTAGAACTTGGCCGTATTTTTATTTTCAGACTTTAATGAGACGTGTTGCCTTATGTCAAGGCCAACCAGACACTCACTATAAATCTGATTCATATTAAGTCTCATTTTTATTTGGAGAGGAAACAAAAAAGTGGTTTGACAATACTCTAATTAGTATTTGAGTTCAACTCAATATTGTATGTAACCTAGAGTTATTTAGTATTGCCCAAGGTTATTGGGTATTCTGACTGTTGCACTAATTGTATTTCAAAGTTTATTATTTTTAAATATTTAATTTTTTTATGTTTAGAATAGACGGCTGTCTTTATATTGTTCTAGCCTCTAAAAGTATGCCTTAAAGATTTGCTTTGAAGAAATTTGTTACTTTAAAAATAGTGGTATAAAACCTTTAGACTTTTCCTTTTTAATGCACTGATGAAAAAAATAACATTATAGGCTCTTCACTTATGTCCAGTTTAATTAGTCCAATAATTTCACTAAGGTTTACCTTGCTATTAAGCATCAAATCTCCAGTCTGTCCTGTAAGTTATATGCTTATTACTGAATTGTGTTCATCCTTCTGTTTGAACATGATGTCCGTTGTGGGCTGCAGTTGGCACAAAAGTTCAATAACAGGATATCACTCGAGTGGTACGACATTCCCCCCAATCATGCTCTCCGTGGGTGGATGGATGGATTGGGTTTACCATGTCGAAAAAAATTTGTTTGTTTTAGACAAATCATATCCAATTATTGATTTTTTAAAGTCTCTCCACTTTTTTAGGATGCTGCTCACCAGTTTGTAAAAATGAAAAGATCTCATACCCTTTCATCCAGAATTCCATCATTATCATCATCCTTGTCACAAGCATCTCCTTGACCGTCTCTGTCAAAGTCTTCTTGTCCAGAGTTGGGGAGGCTAGGGCAGTTATCCTGAAATAGTGGCAGTAAACGGTTGACTTTTGCAGTTCAGTTTGGCATCACTGGATTGAATGTGGCAATATTCAGTGAAATACCTTCTTGCAATGGTAAGTGGCATTAGCACCACACACAAGGTTCTGATTGGGCCAGCCATCCAAATCAGAGTCTTCACCACAAATGAAGCCATCTCCAGCGTAACCCGTCCTACACTCACACTTGTACATTGGATCACTGAAGTGGCTGATGTAGATGCATTCGGCATATTTGTGACAGTTGTGCGTCCTGTCCTTACATGGGTTCTCAGGCTCACATACCTAGATTAAGAAAAACAGAGAGGTTAGATGGAATTTCTTACAAGACACAGTTTTCTTACATATTTTCCATTTTGCTGTTTTTTAAATGTGAAGAGTATTTATTTTACCACTAGTCCTGGCAGCTTGTTTTGGGGACTAGCCCTCCAAACAGGGACACCTCAAACTGAGGTGACTGGTTAAATAAAAACATTTTTCAAAAAAGTGTGGAGCACTTGTGATTTTATGACATGGGTACAGCATATATTCCAAAACAACCTACTGCTCTCCATTTTTTTCTTCACAAACTATTCACAGCTGCCACTTATTACCAGATGATGAACCTAAAGTTTGAATGCCACTGCATGAGCTCATAGAGCCAAAAGAGACAGGGAGGCCTTTGATCAGAACTGTGAAATGGAGCCTCTTAATGCCAGCAATGAGACAATTCCCCTTTTCCCAAATCAATTACTGTCAATTGGGGCATCAAATCAAAGACAGGCAGCTACAGAGGCCAAGAAGTGACAAAATGCCCCATGAGGGATGTTATGCAAGTAGTGGTCAAAGTGACACGTTTTTCAGTTTTCAAGGGACTCATTGATCAGAAAAGAGATGAAAACCGTTGTGTTCCAATAAAGTAGTTAATGTGGCATATTTGACAAGTCATATTAAAACTTTTAGTAGTTTTGACAGGGTTGGAAAGAGAGAGATGTGGGCCACAGAGACAAAAGAAAAACATAGCTTTATGACAGTGAACTGATACAGTACAAGGAAGGAAAAATAACCATTCATATCCACCTCTCATTTTAAAAGTTTAAAGCTACTCACGCTGTCATTTTACTTACAAATAGTGGGTCAAGGTCAACCCCATTCATTCATTCCTATATACACAAACTCTCTCTAAAAATAAGGCTTTTAAATCCCCTGAAGTGCTGCTCCAGTCATTTATAAATGTGACATCCAGAAATCCACACATATGCTTATCCAAATCTCCCTGGAGCTAAATCCACATTATATGCTTTATTGTTGTTTGAGTGGTTTCATACCAGTGGTCTATTAAGAGCACTGAAAAAAAAAGCTAACATCAACTCACTTGTTTGTTCTTCTTGGCAGCCTCCACACCCATACCAAAAGGCTGGGTGCCCTTGTAGCGCTTTGGACAGGGCAAGCAATGGAAACCTGGATCAGTGTTGACACAACGCTGCATTCCATTCACTTTGTAGCAAACATCAGACACCATGTCACACTAGAGGAGAGAAAAAAAATCATCAGCAAAATACAAGCAGGTCTTTTTATGAATAAAGTGCAGCTAGCTTATGAAAAATAGTAACTTTTACCTCATTAATGTCTTCACAGTGGGTACCATTTCCACGAAATCCAGCAGGGCACGGGCCACACTCCCACGAGCCATCGGCAGAGCTGCTGCAGTCCACTCCCGCAAAACATGGGTTGGACAGACAGCCATCTGCAAGAGGTTTAGATGATGAGAATGGATACATACAAGGGAAAACTTTAAATTTTTACTTTTAATTTGTAATGCTTATCTTAAGTTAATGCTTAATCACCTTTCCGAAATCTACAGTAGCAACACAGACAGTATAAAAATTGGAAGTAGCAACCGTGACATCATCCATTGGTTTCTGAAGGCATGGGCGTGTCTAACTATGATATAATAAGCCATTAACTAATCATCTATGGTTAATCATCATATTTGAACTATAATAATATCACGATTTACAAAATAAGAGTCAATTTTTTTTAATATGACCCAAAGTGAGACCATAAACTCACCAGGAAAGTTTTCACTGAGGTCAATCTTCCCATATACGTCTATTGGATCAGAAGTTTCTTTTGCAACCACAGCTACTGCCATCTGGTGGCTTTCAGGTAGAATGGAGGTTCAAAGCGCTTCCACATTGGCTTCATTTTTCTGAACTGGAAACTATATTCTGGTTTTATGCAGGTTTTGAAACCAACTCACAAAAACTTTCCTTTTATATTAAAATAAGGGAAAGGTTTTTGAGGTTTTTTTGCCAGATTTTTCACTTTAATGCAGCCGAGGTAATCAGCGTGGTGCTGGTTATTGTTAACACAGAATTATTACTAGTAAGGTAATCTTTTTTTTCCCCAGTGTAGCTGGCAGAACCCAGATTTCCTCTTCCATCTGCCAGTCATTGTTTACAGGTGAAGTCACATCGTTAAACAAGCTCAGAAAAAAAATGTATCTAATTATAAAGACACATATGGCAGCACAAGAAAATGGCTGTGCAAAACAGATGTTTGGATGTTTTTTCCATCATAAAGACTAAAACAATCAAGCTGATCATTCCAGTCAACAGCTGACAGCAACTTGCACAGTACACATTAGGACATTCCAAGTACCTCAGCTGACTGTTTGCATTACAGGAGAAATCCTAAAATCACTACAAATGCCAGAACATATGTCAGTGCAATCCCTCTGCTACATAAAAATGTTTCAGCGTGGGCCAGTGGATCTGTGAACCCAGTCACCTAAGTAGCTAAAACCATAATGCAGAGTGACTAATGCTCACCAATAGGGCAGTCATTCTTGTTACAGCTGTCTCTGTCGACCGCTTCTCCAAAACATTTCTTGCCGCCGTATTGAGGTTCAGGGCTGTTGCACTCACGGGAACGACTTTTGTGCCCCCCTCCGCAGGTCGCTGAACAGGTTGCCCATGGAGACCACGGTCCCCAGCCACCATCAACTAAAAAAACAGGGGAGACAGATGCTTAGCAGCAAGTCACTTTGACATAAAGTGTTTTATTCATGCCACATTTTTATTCTGTTGTTTCTAAACAAGAAATAAAAAGTTCAGAAGCCTGGAACTTAATACTGCATGAGCGAACATACTGAACCGATCTGGACCAACGTTTGCACCAAGACTGACATGATGACAGTCTGAAACACATGGGGAATGTTGCCTTAGGGGAACCACAAGGCACGAGGGAAGTCCGGCTGCTGGGCACAGATGCTAGCCACTGTAACGGAGATGCTGCTTTTGAGTGTTTCCCTTCACAAGATGAAATACTCACTGGGACATGGCTTGGCAGTGCAGCCCTGGGTCTCTCTTCCACTGCCCTCACATTCTCTGCCTCCCAGCTGTGGCACAGGAGCATTGCAGTGTCGTATTCTCGTGATCTGTCCCTCGCCACAGGTCACCGAGCACGACGACCACGGGGACCACAAACTCCACCCTCCGTCCTGGCGAACTGGGCATCAACAATCAGACATGTCACGCAGCAGTCAAACACATATGTGTTGCGTTATTCTCCAGATTTCCATTATAGTACTTACAGACATGTATAATTTGCCAGAGTTAGGAAAAAAGGAGAGAAAAGAGCACCATATTTTCTACAAGTAAACATTATGCGATGCTGGCGATGATGGCTCACTTTCAAAGATGTTCTAAGACGCTTGAGCCAGTATTTTTGTCATTGTGGGTAAACTATCTTCCAGTGGTTAGGCTGATTCAGTCACTCACACAGATGGAGTGTACTGCTAGCTTGAAGCAATGACACATGCTGATTCTATAACTTCTCAAAAAAAAAAACACAACACAAAAAAACCCGTTCAGCAGTTTTTGTTTCCAGCACAAATCTACCAAAATCACCACACCTCACTTAATAGGACATTAATTATCAGATTCATTAATATTTTATAATATTGCATGGAAAGCTGCGGTGAGTCACTGCACTGTGGAACACCCTTTTAGCCAGTGATTTATTTGGAGTTAACTGTGACTGGGCACACCCTGCAGCCCAACCGTGAGATCCAGCTCTTCACTTAGATTCATCCACTCAAAGACGGATCCAGATTTATGAAGGAGAAAACTTTTGCAATTCTGAGGCTCTCATCTCATATTTAACTCACTGCTCGGTTTTTCCACAGTTTCATCATCTCCCCCCCCCACTCCTCTCACTTATCATAACGCTATTTGTTTTAGATTACTGCCAGTGGTGCATACTGTGGTTGAGATAATATCGGTGCAACAGTTACTACTGGATGCCACAGTTCAAATAAAAACTGAGTGAGTCAAGACGAAGCGTTGAAAAAACAAGAAAGAACAAATCCTCACCACGGCTGTCGCATTTGCCCAGACTGCACTTGCGGGTCTGGATAGAAGGTCCCGTGCAAGGATTGCTGGTTGCGTCGCAAGAACGGCCCCTCTGTTGAGTTCCTATCCCACAGGTCACTGTGCACTCTGTCCACTCTGACCACGGGGACCATCCATCGTCACTGTCCATAGCTGGAACATGTAAATGCAACACTTTTATGCTCCATCTTTTTGCACAGAACAGTAGAAAAGACTGTGAAAAGTTCATAACTGTAGCTTTTATTCTTTATATCAACTCGTTTATCACATGACATCATCTGAAGAACCCACACTAGACATTTTGAGTGTCTGCTAATAAATATGTGGTTCGCCTCCAAAGACATACTGGCTGCAATAGTCCTGTAGTATTAAACTTTAATATGTATGAAATGCTGTGTTTATAGCACATTGCACCATTAATTTAGAATAGCGTGTATAAAATTGCGTGTTTATGTTGTGAAAGGTCCTGCCTACTTACGCAAACAGGCGGGGCAACACTCGCCATCGATAAAGGACGGGCTGGCACAGGCCACCGGAGGACAGGTGATTTGGTGGCACACGATCTTGGATTCCTGCCACAATTGAACATTAATGATATGTCAGGCTCTTAAACATCCGCAGTAAATCTGCATATATTTCCAGATGACTTGGCACTACCTGACAGGTGCATTTGGTGCAGCTGTCTACAACCCAGTCTTCCTTATCCTCAAACAGGCGGCCATCCTGCCAGCACATGTTTTTCTCTGAGGAGTTCTTCATCCTCCCAAGGGCCTCTTTCATCACTGAGTTTTCTTCTGTCTGAACATACAACAAGTGAGAAAAGAACAGTCAGAAATCTTTAAGGCACACTCAAGATCAAAGGTGCAAAGCCACTGACTGGGGGAAAGATAGTCCTGCTGATGAGCTGATTCATTGAAAATAGCGTGTTTGAGGTTAGTTTCACCAGGTGGGAAGAAGAAACGCGTGTGTTGCTTTTGCAAATGTTATTCTAATAAAAAAAGATGACATTTGTTTAAAATCAAGCTTGATCAGAACCATTTCTTTTTGAGATAAAACAACACTGCGCTAATAAAAACAAAATCAGCACCAAATGTAGCAACCTTGTAACTTTTCTTGGAATCCTTTGTACCAAGCTATTTCCCCGTCCAGCTCAGCTCATGCTTAGATGCTTTACTTTACTTCAACTAGTCATTGAAAAAAAATCTGATAACTTAAATGGATGAGAAACAACAGAAAAAGACTAAAAAGTTACACCCACTTGAAGAATCTACTCAATTTTTCCCTTGTTGCTGCAGATTATAAAACTCTGAACTTCTTTACATGCTCACTGCTTCTTTGAAAACAGCTCACTGAAAAGTGCTGCTTAGTTACGCACATTACCTCCTATCCAATTGGAGACCAGGCTGAGCTCCTCAACACTTGGGAACTATCAGTGGATAAAGTACTGCCAAAGATTTTCGGGGGGATATGAGTGCGTATGTGTGTGTTCATCCTCCTCTTGGAAAAGGGGAGTAAGCAGTGTGTAGCACTAGAATCTAAGACACCACTCGGTCTGGAAGAGCCTCGGGGACCCTTCTCATACCAGCCGTTTCTTTTTTCCCCCTCAAGGTTCATGCCCAGACTTTCTTATTGCTGGGAGGCTCCCAGAGGAAACACATGAGCTGTTTAAACAAAGCCAGACATTAGACTGGACCCCATCACTGCCAGGGGAACACTTCCTATATCCACATGTAACATGTCATAAAATCTGTCTGACTCACGCTGCCTCAGATAGGAGGAGTCATATGGGTTCAGCTGTCACAGGCGACTCTATAAACACTCCTGTGGCTACTCACTGTTTACTTTAAAACCAATGTGGGTTACCTAGTAACCTAATTCAGGCCTCTTTACCTTCAGGCTAACACGCGGAGGGCTGAGTCATCTGTTTTCCTAAAATGTTGTTTTTTTTAAAGAGTTAAATATTTCTTCCATCACACCAGAGCCACCAATTTTACATTTACTGGCCTGTAAAGTTCAACAAAACAGACAGTAACCCTCTCTAAGACAAATGAAAGTGTTGGCTAGGGTTGATTTATGTGATTTAACTCACCACTTTTTGCAATCCGTCAATAAGGTTGCTGACGACAATGCGCAGGCCTTTGAGCTCCTGGAACATGATGCTGAGCTCCTCACAGGAGCGTTCACACATTTCTGCGCCCACATCATCCGTCTTCTGACCTATAACGTTTGTAGTGATGGAAGGACTCACGTCCACAATTTCCCCGCTCTCACTCACAATATTGGCATCATCTGGAAGAGCAAATAGCAGATACCAGGGCAAATGGAGGAAAAATAACGCAGGCTGTTGATGGAAAACATGTTTGAGAGATATCACGGTTGAAACGCAAGGACTCAAATGATTTCCTGTTTTTCTGTAGCTGGCCAAAAGATCACAACAATGGCGTAATTGAAATGTTTATTATGTTCCTAAAACCAGATGTCCAGTCAGTGTCGTTCAATTTGGAAAACAAAAAAAATAAAGTGTGTCTGTTTGAAATGGTGATGGTAAATCTGTCAGCCCGAGATGACGGCAGAGCTGGCTGTGGGAGAACAGGACAGGATGGCACTGCAGAGCAGAAATCTCTGGAGTTCCCCGTGTGATGCAAAAACCATATTGTGGACCATAAACCTCGCTAACCTTTCAAATATGTAACCACTTGTGATATGTACTTAAGAGGCTGGGGGTGGCCACACAGATTTATACTTGTTATACTCTTGTCTTGATATCAGCACAAAAGAATTATGTGAAGAAGTATGTGGGCTGCAGCATTTATCAGTCATTATTAAGGCTGAGGACTTTGTAATAAAACCAAGTGTATGTTGAGATATTGAGAAAGGGACCTAACTTTAAACTGCAGTGCTATTAGAAGAACATAGTGAGGCCAAATGTGAAGTTCTTTTGCAGTCTACATCTGACTGCTGTGATCTCGGTAGTCAGAAAACCCTACTGAACTTTAATCACATCACAGCTAGCTATACGAATATTCGATGCCCAAAACAAACACACGAGAGACAAATGGAAGCTCCGCAGAACGCCTGTCCTTCAGCCAAGGCGCAACGCGTATCTGCAACTGGTTTGGATCACGCTATGTAAATTGGCGAAGATTAATAGCAGAGCGGGGACTCTAAATCAAGAAGTCATCCAAATTACCCGGTGGTGTCCTACTGTAGCCAACGCAATGTTTTCTTTCCTCTTCAGTCTGCTGGATTCATTCAAATCTCAGGAGGGCTTCACACTGTGTGCGCGTGAGAATGCGTGAAAGCTCGTCTGTGAAAGCAGTTACACATTCTTCTCTCCCCGATGGAGGCTCTCGATTTTGTCAGAGTAGAAAGAGGAAATCGGTTTAAAAAAAAAAAAATGAAGAGCGAAAACTGGGGCAATTTTAATACTGTCCAAGTTATAGGGTTGCCTGGATTTATGGGTGACTTTCGGCATGAATTTTCCTAATGGTGCCGAACCCTCTCTGGTACCAGCCAACCAGCGGAAAACTTCCAGGCGCTGGTGACATTTGTTAAACAAATAAACTCATTCAGCTGGAATTCAACAGTGCATGTGGTGACAGAAAAGCATCAACTGCATACCGCATGGTGATTTTCTCTGTCACAGCAAAACCAAAAGGCTCAGTTTCCAGATCTGGTGGTTCTTCGGGATCTCTATCTTTTGAGCTGAAGCCAGTCTTTTGTGTGAGCCCCGCTGAGGATTGCGAGGTCCTTCAGCTGAGAAAAGCAACCCAATCAGCCAATTCGTGACTTCATCCTGTATGTTTGTGTGTACGTCTGTGTGTGTGCAGCTGGAGGTGGAAGCTCCCCACTTTGCAGTATAACATTCACTTTGTCTTTTCTATTTTCTTTCCCAGGGTATTATCCCAAATCCACTGCCAATGGAAACAAATGTAAGCATCTGTATCTCCTTTTGTTCACCCTGCACGCTGCTCAACCTCAAGCCACTGCAGTGAAAAGCCTGTTGCTGTAAACATGAAGTAATACTGGGATATCTTGCCACATTTCGGATCTGTAAGCTTTTTGATCCATTAAAAAGGAGATAAATTCATGCAAATGGAGTTGACAGAGAATGCTAAACTGTTTGCCGTGGTCGAAGTTTAACAAAACACAGATACTGGGTGCAGGAGAGTTGCATGTGAAAGAGCTTTTAGATCACATCTGCTAGGTATCAGGCATCAAACACTTTGCAAATATAATTATTTTGACTCATCTGTTGGGTTATGAAAAAAAAAATCACACAAAAGAGAAAGGGTTTGTCATTCATCCTGGATAGCAGGGCCTTTATAGACCTTAAAAACTAAAACAGACACATTCTTACCTTGCTTGGTAATCTCACAGTCTCTACTCAGCAGGATGTCTTCTATTGAGGTGTCAAAGATGAAGCGCACACTCTGGAGAAGGCCCTGTTTGGTGAGAAAATATGTGTCTCAATCACTTTGACATATTTCAGGCAGGACATTTTCTATACCTAGTGCAAGCATGAGATGGGAATTGGAGCAAACATTTCATGGAAACTCGCTTTTTACCTAATAACATACGTTCCCCCTCATTTCTACACACAAGGGGTAAATTTAAAGTCTAAATTTAGAGTCCTTTCCACACAGAGAAACCAGGGCAACACAGGGAATATGTCAGTCTGTATTTTTGGAAACAGTTGTTTAAACTTTTATTGCAGGGTTAGTGAAGACCACAATTTTGTTTCTTGGACACTGCGAGGGTTGACAAATGCTGGACAAGTAAGGAGTTCCTAGATCCTGGGAAATCGTTTGAATCCACATCCGCTGTCTTACCCTAAAGTGGTTCTCTCGAATGGATCCCTTTGCCACATACATGCGGCTCCCCTCGGCCTTCAGGTGCTCGTAAAATGGCTCATCCAGGATGAAGCTGTCTATGAGGCTGCAGCCGACAAACAGGTTGGCGTTCTCCCCATGAACGTGAAGGGTGATGTTCTTCCACTGCGAGTCGGACAGGTCCACGTCCTCGAATGAAACCACGTTCTGCGAGCCGTCTGCCCAGTAGACCAGGTCCAGAGTGTTGGCGCGTCCGTTGGACACGATCTCAAACTGGCGCCGGCCATCGGGACCCTCCAAACCAATCAGGGTGCCTCGTGAGGAACGGTCCTGGCGTATGCTGGCCACAAACACAAAGCCCTCATTGTTTTGGATCTGATGCAGCATTTGCTTCAGTATGGGTGGGCTAACTGGGGGCAGGTGGTCGAAGCGGATGAAGCGGTAGGCAGGGGCATCTAAGTTCTGGCCCCTGAACTGTTTGGCCCCCAGTGTCCTGCGTGTGATGTCGCTGATTTCAAACAAGTCGAATGATGTCTCATCCTCCTGCTCGCCATCTATACATCAGACAAGAGGAAATGTAACTGGAAAGCTAGAAGAAGAGTTCATGAACTTAAAAGCAGAATGGGAGCAACTGGCAGAGTTTTCGCTAAAACAAAAAACAAAACAAAACACTGGAATTGGTGACTCAAATGGAATAATAATAATTATTAGACAGCAATATTACAATCAATCCATTTACAACTCACCTTCAGTTAAAGCTTGAAGGTAATTAAATGACAACAGCAACAAGAAGAGACTTCTCCTGAGTATCATATCTGCTTCAAAAACAAAGACATAGTTTTTGTTAGATTTGTGCCTCTTTTGTCTTTTTTCCCCATCCTTGGTCTCAAATGCTGCACTCAAGTCTCTCAGTCACAGGATGACTGGAAAAAAAGAAGAGAAAAAGCCACATGCAAATACAGGAATAAAATGATAATAACAATAACTCCGGCCAACGAGTTGTTACACAGTTTACAGCTTATTAAACTTTGCAACATTGCACATCAAATTTTATACCCTGTTATGCAGGAAAGAGTCTTTCAGCAGTCCAGCAAGTTTTTTACATTTATTTATCTGTTTGCACTCTGCAGGTAATGAATCACTTACAGCAGCCCTGGTAAATTTGCCCTGTACTGATTTCTCCTCACATAACATTTCAACGATAAGCAGTGTATGCATTCCTAACCTACTTGCTTACCTGACGAATTCAGTATCTTAAAAAAAAAGAAATCCGTCAGAGATCCAGCGACAAGAGTAAAAACAAAAAGAGCCGAGGGTAAAAATGAATGAGCAGTGGTATCTCCTGTAAATGCCCGTAAAGAAAAAAAAGAAAAAAAAGAAAACAAAAGTGTACAGTCCACTTTGGTTCACTACATCCACAGTCTGGAGGACCTGAGGCACAACAGTGACCGAGGCGCCCTCCTCCCTCCTCTTATATAGGGGCTCGCACAAAGTCTGTCAATCAAGTGTTTCGGGTCTGAGCAAGTTTGAGGTCGGCTGTTTAAGAGACACAATTACATAATTATCTTCCGATTGCGTAATTTTCTTAGCCGCGATCACACGCGGAGGCTGCTAGGGGGATTCGTGACCCCTCCCCTCCCGTTTTTCGCCGAGATGCCCGCGAGCCCCTCCCTCCCTAACAAACCCACCTTCCCACTGTGTCCGGTGCGGGCTTTCTCAGGGTAACACACGCAGGGATGTGGGCTGTTTTCCTCTAGAGGGACGAGACACCAAAGCTTCATTAAATGGCTGCACTAACAGCAGGTGGACTTGATAAGTGTATTAATGTGCAGTTAAGGAGAGCAGAATTGGAATTCAGTCGTGAGGTGGAAAGCCGTTGCGCACTTTCCTCAATAATACTGCTCTGTGGTAGATTTTAAAACACCTTTTCATCCACACTCATAAACTTAAAGGTATGCCTCATTTCTGCCTTTCAAGTGTGAAAACCTCAACGCTTGCCAAATGTCAATAATTCAAATTGAGAATCCTAGCTATGTCTGCAATGTGAGACAAAAAGAAAAAGAAAATGACCCTTTAATACAACAGATTCCCTGGAAGCTTCAATTTTAGCTGGCGAGCAATGGCTTGCGTCTGGAAATTATCTGGTATTGCCAAAGCTTCCCCCTCTGTGTCCGGGAGAGAAACGCTGATACAACGGCTCATTCCTGGAGGCTTTAGAGGGGTCTTGTGGGTAGACCTTTGTGTACCAAAAAGACACAACTGGGGGATTTGGTTTTGGAGTTGGAGATGCGCATTCCGTTCAGGGCTGAAGAACACAAAGTTTCATACCACATGGAATCACTGCCTTTCAACAACATGGATTCACTTGACCTGAAAGATATTAGAAACTGCAGCTCCGAGTCAGACACTCAAGAGCATGGTAAGGATGGTGGATGAAGTGACCAGAAGAAACCTCTTAGGAGCAGAAAATACACCACAGACTTATTAATTGTGGTTCAAAAAAATGTTTTAGTGTCTTCTGTGGAGAAATATATAGTTAGTTCTACTGAAGCTGTATCTAAATTGCTAAACATTTTATTCCATTTACTTTTCTAAGTGATACCACCTTTAATTTCTAAAACCTGGATTCCCTCTTTTATTGGTAGTAGGCTTAAAAGTAATGAGGTTTTACTAGGGTGGTGGGAAATGGCACAAAAACAGTTTACTGGCATTCTAGGCATCTCTTTAATAAGTACGGAGCTACTGCAGGGCAGATTTAAACAGCGGAAATTAAATTTCAAAATTCTGTATTCACAAGGGAGAAGAGAAGAATAGGTAGCGTGTCTGTATCCATGCCATATTTGTTTGGACGAAATTGGCATGAAGAAAGAAACGAAGAAAAAGAAGGGTGAGAGGTTTTTCATCAGTGGTTCTTTTTTCAACATTTTTGCATCATTTTCTGGGTCAGTTGGACCGCATTAACATCCAGTGCTTACCTAGTAAACAACAGAGATCAAACGTTAATGCAGATTCGTCTATTAAGGCTATAAACACCAAAGATCTGGAAGGAAAGAAGAAATGAAGGTGATGGATGTCAGTTAGGCTGATAAACAACAATAGTTTCCAGTTCTCTTCTCCAAGCTGTGACTTCACCGTGGAGGTTTTAAAAAAAGAAAGAAAGAAAGAAAAAAGTTCAGTGTGACTCAGGATCATAGTCTTAAAAGGAAATCTGGCACCCAAAATGTTTAAAGTACTGAGAACTGGAGAGAGTGACACATGTAACATGCAAATCTCAAAATTTCTGTAAAATACAACAGTTTTAGGAATGCTGAAGGTAGATTGCGCCCTTTTATTCTTCATAAGATTTACTTTAAATATCCCCTTTAGCACAATCGCGCCAAAAAGCTGAGTAATCCCAATGAAACACATTTGGCCGGAATGACTGGCATTGTAAAATAAGCTTGCATAATCTCCCAAATGCAATGAGGGCTCTGTTTGCATGACAGTTGCACTATAATGTATAGTGTGTCTTTCAATATCTGAGAGATGGGGGGGGGGTGAGATGCTACTATCATTATTATGCATTTAATGTGCACTTCACAGATTTCTATAGTTGGGGCTGCTCACATCTCCAGTAAGGTATGCCTGATCTAGAGCTGCATTTCAGCTGCAGACTCTTGAATGAAACTTTATACTTAAGTATAGAATCAAGCAGATTTAGTGCAGGACAGATAGCACACGCCCTTCTTAGTGAAACAAGCTGGAAAACCACATTTACCTTAAAATGAAGCGAGTTCAGGCAGAGCTTGAAAGTTGCGCTTTTATAGGCTAATTAGCTTTATCTGGCTCAGTCACAACTGAGTGGCAAGCATGATCCAGTCATAAATATGCAGGTGTACATAATTATACTGTCTGACTGCACTGTCTGACTACACTGTCTGACTACACTGTCTGCTGACTGCACTTCAGGAAGAGGCTGTAGTTTAAGATCAGGATATAAGTGGTGCGACTGGGAGGATGTTAGTATTTAGCCAAAAGCGCTAATATCGCTGCTCAAAGCAATTCAGCGGCACAGCGTAAATGTGCAGTTGCATTTGTTTTCTTCAAGAGTTCACACAATAGCAGTTTCCAGTCTTGCTTTCTGTGCCAAACACGGTTCAGTGACTGTCACTGACTTCATTTGTTTTTTGCCCGTATAAACATTTGTGAGCTCTGCTTTATTTTCTTTCCTTACACTTTAGACAAAACGTGTCTTCCTACTTGACCTGATGAAAAGCTTTACGGTTTACATCGTTGGCGACGTATAGGGCCACAACACAGCAACCCACCAATCAAACATCTGGGCAACAGAAAAGCTATGGAAAATGCAGGTCTCGTACAGAAATAGATCCTAACTCTTAAAAATGATAAACTTTTGGGTTTCTAAAAATGTCCTCGCTTCAGATCTCAACCACTAAAGGAAAAGAAAAAAGTTTTTTCTCACACTGAGATGAATTTTAACATGTAGTAATTTACAACGTTTGAGTTGCCCAACAGGGATTTGGGCAACAAAACAGAGCTCTATGAATTGTTCTCATAGGTTTTGTGAAGCAATTGAGAAGTCAACAGGAGAGCAAGAAGACTGTGGAAAACACTCAAAGACGTGTGTGCACACCATTAATCACTGTATTATAACGTCACAAGACTTCCAGTTTTGACTTTTGGGCTTTGAGGGAAATTCGAACTGTGCAGTGACATGCTAATGCTGCCTGCTGGTCACCCTGTATCTCTGAGCAAACAGGGACTGATACTATAACGAGCATGGCTTATGCAGTCATCGCTTGAAAGACCAGCAGCTGCAAAGAATCCAACATGACAAGACATAAACAGAGTTGGTTTCATTACGTGACACTACAAGTTTGCTTTCAAAGCATTTTAATAGCCAGTTTTCAAGTAAGAATGGCTCACATACCTTGGCTTAGAGCAGACATTGCATCAAAGTGAGATAGCCAGTGTTTGACTTGTTCTCCTCCCAAAGGTTTACGTGTGACCTGTGTGGGTGGGATTTGTTGACACACGATTTGTAAATCCTGCACAACAGAATGTTTCCTGCATGATATTATGCTTGGGATCATAAGTGGATCCGGGCAACTTTTAAATTGTATTGAAACAATAAGAGCAAAATCAGATGGTTCTGGCCTTTGTTTGTGTGCTCAGCCAACATCCTAAGCGGAAGGATGAACAGAGGGAATCTTGTTTACTTCCTTTGTTGCCTGCAGGACCGTTGAAGGATGGCAGGCTGTGACGGCCCCATTAATCGCCTGTTGGTTGCTCATGTTTAGCGAGCGCCCAGCGCTGCCAGCTTTATGCAGCGTTGCTTGTTGCAGTGATGTAACCCGGCCTCGGTCAACTCAGCGGGTTAAGACTTATTCCCAGATGTGTATTTGAACCATTGGACTCGAACGCAGGCAAAACGTCCCCAAATTGCAGGTCTCAAATACAAGTTTGGCATTGAGTACTGAACTTCAAATAAACATGACATCCTTTCAAAGAATGAAAGAAAAAAGGGGGGGGGGGAGAGAAAGTAATAGCAGTGTTTCCCTAAATTTACTTTGACTCACACTTCCCTACATTTAGGTTAATAATCGAGTGATTACAAGAACAATCCCCATTTTGCTTTCACTCTCTTTTCTCACAAATGCATTTTCATTACTTAGATGCAATCATTTGGTAATGACTTCCAGATTCCCATTTTCCTCTTTGAGCTGATGGGATGTGTGGAGTTATAGCAGAACAGTAAGATCTCTTACTGGAAATTTATGAGAGCCTAAGAACTGTGAGAATTATGAGTTCTTTTTACAGAAGACTTGTGCAAGAGTGACTAAGAAATCTACAGGGAGCAGCAATGTAAAACCTACAACAACAAAAAAGATTGTAGGTATGGACAGCTAATGCAAGAACTAAGAGGAGTTTTGTGTGAGAGAGTGAACAAAGTGAGAGTGAGATCTCTTCAGCGGAGAGGAAAGGAGGAGGAGCTTTGGCCTTGGGTCCCTGGGCACAGAAGGTGCTGCAGCATAGCTGAAGCTTCAGTGCCGATACAAACTCATCCTGCATTTTAGTTGCTCAGGGACGTAAAATGTAGGTAAAGGTTTGAGTTTTTGAGTACTGTAAAGTACATACATCACAACAAGGCATCCTGCAGAAGTGTTGGAGAGTAGATAGCACAATATTTCATGGCTTCCATTTTTCATTTATATCGCTCCATGGTTTTACTTCCTTACAGTTTAAAAGTTTCATATTATAC